TTCTCTCTCTCTCTCTCTCTCTCTCTCTCTCTCTCTCTCTCTCTCTCTCTCTCTGTCTCTCTCTCTATTTCAAGACAGGGTTTCTCTGTGGCTTTGGAGGCTGTCCTGGATCTTGCTCTTGTAGACCAGGCTAGTCTGGAACTCACAGAGGTCTAACCGCCTCTGCCACCTGAGTTGCTGGGATTAAAAGCATGCACCACGACCGCCTGGCTAGACTATACTTATCACCCTAAGGAATCTGTCTGATATTTCCCATGTTCTGGTTCTTAGCATTGTCTGACTTGTTTCTCTGATAGACCTTGTCCTTAACTCACGCCCCCGAAACATTATATAAGACACTGCACTTCAGAATAAGTTTGCTTGGTATAAGCCATCGTCTTATGCAATACTCCTCAAATAGCTATTGCTTTCATCTTCTTTACTTCTTATCCCAGGCCCTCCATTCAACCCATGATGCTCAGGATCTGTATTCAGAACGGTTCCAAATATTCCAGTTTCATGTTACAAATATTACTTACTTCATTATTACTTTTCAGGTTTATTGGCATCTTCATACATATATATGATAACAATGAATGAAAAAGAGGTCATGAATTTGAAAGAAATGACTAAAGGGAGGAAAGGGAAGAGGAAATGTGGTTATATTAATCTCAAACATAATGAAATACAATAAAGAAAAACACAAAAGTACCATTTTCACTCCTATCGTCTGTCCTCATTTTATCCATTGGTTATTGACAAAGTGTTTGCCTCATTTAAAAATTGAGGGACAATCCTTATCTCTGACTGCAGAATCCAGTGTGTCCCCAAAGTTCTCAGAATCACCTAGAGACTGGTAGTAGCTGCACAATGACCTGGGCACCTCAGACAGATCTAGTTTTCTGAAACTCCTGAGTCCTCCCTCCCACACAGAAGGCAGAAATTGGATCTCCATGGACTGGTAGATACCAGAGTAGGTTCTCAGGTGGGACGTTTCTTCCTGGAAGATGGGAGGTCCACCTGGCCCTGTTTTGGTGTCATGATGTACAGCTGGGCATAGGTTACATCATTGAGCCCATCGGATCTAGCAGCCTGGAGTGTGAAAATGTAGAAGATTGATCTTGGGCATTGGGAGCATGGGGGACTAGAGAAGTCAGGACCCACCTGCTCATCAACGGCTTTGACCCCTTTTGTCTTTCTCTCATGTGAGGCCTGTGATTTTTTTGGCTGCAGGGGAGAAGAGGTCATCTCTGCCCTTCTGCGTCTGGAGGGTTTCACCTGGGCATACAGGTCTTTGGAGGGGTCTTCCTCACATGGGCTCTGCAGCAAAGAGACAATGAAACAAAGGGAGTCATCCAGGTTCCAAAAATGCTATCAGCCCTTAGTTCTAAGGTGTGTAAGAATGTTATTTCAATATTTACATCAAACTAAACCATTGCTCAAGGGGTCCTCTAGTATTTCATTGAGTGCCTGTCAGTTTCCTTTCAGCTCTTCTGACACATTTTAAAGACACACTGACATTCTCTCCAGTGCTTCCATCTTTTAGAAGCAGAATATCACTGTCACTGAACACTTGGATCCCCCATGTACCATACGAAGATATGCTCATTCATTACAGGCTTGTGTGAGCCTCTCTACTCAGGCTTCACCTCAGAAGGCTTTCTTCTTTTTTCATTTTTATTATCTAAGTAATTTTTAAAATTTATTTTACATAGAGAACTCAGTTTCCCCTCCCTACTCTCCTCATTTCCCCTTACTCCAGACCCCCACCCACCCCTTCCCCGTCCACTCCCCCGCCCCATCCATTCAGAAATGGGAAGGCCTCCCAAGGGCTTGAACAAAGCATGTCACACCAAGTTGAGGCAGGACCTGGTTATTCCAACTGCATTAAGGCTGGGTAGTTAATCCATCATGGGGAACAGGTTCTTAAAAGCCAAGGACATATCCCCTCTCTCACTACTGGGAGCTTTACAAACCAAGCTACACAACTGCCACATTCATGCAGAGGGCCTAGGTCTGTCCAGTGCAGGTTCTCTAACTACTTGTCAGAGTCTATGAGTTCCCAGGAGATCAGTTCCACTATCTCTGTGGGTTCAACCATCATGGCTTTGACCCACATGGACTGTACAAGGCCTCCTCCCTTTCTTCAAGAGGAGCCCTGGAGCAGGGCCCAATCAGAAGGCTTTCCCTGGAGCAGGGTCCAATCAGAAGGCTTCTTTCAAGTTCCCATAAATACCCACTGACCATCATCTTTGCCTCAATAACCTCAACCCACATCCTCTAATTCACTTCCTTCATACACTTTGCATTGGTCACTCTTAGAGTTTATCTCCATTTAGTCTCCCATTTTGCTTGTCACACTGGGTAAGGAGTACTGTCCCTTGCTATAAATACAGCCTGTACAGAAGAAGCAGGGTTAACAGGGAGATACAGGAGATCGGGAGAT